AAAAATGTGGTTCCTGTATCAGCGTTGATGTTTTGAGGCTTTCTGTAAAAAATTTTCGCAATTTCTTATAAAAGCACTTTCTTAATTTTTTTTATCAGGCCAATGAAATTAAATTATTTTTAAGTATACCAAAAGTGTAAGAGGTCTTGTTTTGTCCAGCAACAATACTCTTGAAATTATTTCATAGTATTTCATTGAATGTCCGTTAAAGGATTGAGTATTTTTTCAATTAATGAAGGAATTTGCAATACAGAATAGTTGTGTCATTTCCAAAAGTGTAAACCATCACCATACTCCTTCCGGTCTGATAAAAGATTAAAAACAAAGGAATAAAACCACTACCGCCACCATTAATCAGCTCATTTTAGGCCGCAGCCATTTTACTTCTACGTGATTAGAGAGAAGGCTTGTTAGATTGAACTCAGCATGCATCCCAAAACCTTCTGAGCAGATAAAGGAGCTGTAGTTACCCAGAACTAATGCTGGGAATATGACTCTCTCCGTTCTGCTGGGACAAAATGCAAAAACGTTTAAGATTCTTCTCATCGTTTTATCTCTAAAGACATGTCGTATAGTAATAAATGCAAATGTGTTACTTACGCTTTGTCATAATACGACGTACTGAGTGCTTGGGTGTAGCTGGTTGTGTTTGCATTCAGGGCGTTGCTGTTGTCCAGAGAGTACGCCTTCCTGGCTTTCTGATCCTTAGCAAAGTTCCTGCAGGCAGCCAGCTTTGATTCCAGAGCCTGCAGGAAGGTAAAACATGATAACTGAGGAAGCTGAGTTTCTGCCTGAAGCTGGAGGACGGATAGAGACAAGGCAGCTGAAATAGAAAGAAGGAACCCCTCACCCCGACTTTCCGGAGTAAGTCACTGACAATGTTGAGCGCTGATATCCTGGCAGAGGGGGTCAGCGGGGAGTTGCTGCCGTAGCCATTGGACAGCACTGAAACAGCAACAAGGCACAATAGTTCAAACCTATCAGCGCATCTAAGGCTGAGCCTGTAATTTCCTCTGCATTGTTTTATAACTATACATAATAAGAAAAAGATTCAGGTAAAATATTTTTGGGAATTAATTAAATCAGGAAATATACATTTCAGGGGTTTTCTCTGTTGCTTAAACATAAAAACAATGACCATTATCTTATTCAACTTTGTGCTGGATTAATGTATTTCTTTTTTGTGTGTGGAAAAAATAAGTAAACAAAACAGTTTTGTTCTGAAGTGGAGTTTTTCACACCTTCATAAACAATAAACTCTAAATTTCTCAAATGTCTGCACACATTTGTTTCATCAAATCAACCACTGAAGCATTTTGCAAACTAAAATAAAGCACATTGTGCAATTTGATACACTTCCTATTTCTACTGTCAACCAAACAAGCCAGAAGGTGAACATAATTAAATCACTATTGTCATCAACTGGACACTTCAGTTTAGAACTGATAACTCTTTTGTCTAACGATCAATGTAATCAATTAAAGTAAGAGTGGAAACAGGCCTGTTGGAGTTTCCTTTTAACAATGGGGGGAATTCAGAGGTGCAGGCCAAGGGTTTGTATGGGAGGTGGGGTAGAAGGGACAAGAGTAAATGAACTCAGGTATGAGGATAGACACTGCAGTATTACTCCATATATGCCACTGAAAAAACCCTCTGAATATATATTTGTGGACATGGGCGTAGGTTTGCATAGGGACCATAGGGACATGTCCCTACCAATAATTCGATTTAATAACATGTTTATATAAAATGTTTATAATTTACAATTCAGAGTGGTGGATCACAGCCAATTCTGTTTCTCTCGCAGCTCTGCAGCTCAGTAGCTGCAGCTGCCGCTTCGTCTGAGTGCTACCCACTCATTGGTTGTTCTGCCTCAAGTTCCGCCTTCTCTCTTCCTGATTGGCTATTTTCTAGTCCTTATGCGTGTGTGCGTGCTTGGAGCATGAAATAAGAATTTTATTCACACTAGTTACTTAAATTAATATTAAGCTATGAAACTAGTCCTAATGAAAGAAAACTTATTTCTATCTTCACTAAAACAGGCGAAAGCTGCTGATTGCTGATTCTTAGCCACAGCTGACTGAAAAAGAAAATGTTTCATTGCAATTACTGTTTTCATTTTATGACCACCCTTTGAGGCAGTTCAGCTATACATAGCAGGTGTTATTTCTTTTATTGAGTATAACAACACAAGATGGCGCCTAAACATCTGATTTTTTTTTTTAGAAAGAAATATTATGGTTCCACATAATGTTGCTATTTCTTTGACTAATTACTTTAAAAAATATAATAAAGACAATAACAGAGGAACACTATTTACATTGATTTTATCTTACATAGAAGTCCACACAGTCCATAAGTTAATTAGTACAAAAATTAGTGTTTGGTAAAAATGCTTGAATCCGGCTGTTTATTTTGGATATTATTGCATTACAGACAAGATGGTGTTATATTTTCTTTTAATAATTGTTAAAAGTGATTTTATATTGGAATAAATTTAGTCTCATTCTCAGTGTTGTNCACAGCTGACTGAAAAAGAAAATGTTTCATTGCAATTACTGTTTTCATTTTATGACCACCCTTTGAGGCAGTTCAGCTATAAATAGCAGGTGTTATTTCTTTTACTGAGTATAACAACACAAGATGGCGCCTAAACATCTGATTTTTTTTTTATATAAAGAAATATTATGGTTCCACATAATGTTGCTATTTCTTTGACTAATTACTTTTAAAAATAGGTTAAGACAATAACAGAGGAACACTATTTACATAGATTTTATCTTACATAGAAGTCCACACAGTCTGTAAGTTAATTAGTACAAACATTAGTGTTTGGTAAAAATGCTTGAATCCGGCTGTTTATTTTGGATTTTGGATTACATTACAGACAAGATGGTGTTATATTTTCTTTTAATAATTGTTAAAAGTGATTTTATATTGGAATAAATTTAGTCTCATTCTCAGTGTTGTGTTTTGTAGATTTACACTAAATATAAATACAATAAATGTATTTGCCATTCCTTGAATGTGTTATTTTGCAATGTTTCATGATACAGAGAAAGCGTTTAAAAAATAAGAGTGTTTTTCACCTGTTTACTTTTGCAAAATTCTATATCTTATAGAATATATCTGATAAACAACATCTAGTGTGTGTAGTGCTTATAAAATTAGTATAAATGTAGCAAAAAATGCTGCTTTTCTCTTTAAACGAAATGCACCCTGATGTTCACGTCAAGCATAAGAAAACATGCATATTTTTGCATAGGTCAAAAGACATTAATGAAACTTTGGACCAATAGTGTCCCTACCAAAGTGGAAATCAAAGCTACGCCGTTGTTTGTGGATGAAGCGAGTTTAGATTTGACAAAGTGAAGACTAAACCTAATGGTTCACTTAGCCGTTGTTGATCTCTCAGGCCAGAGTGGAGGCAATGGGACCATTTGTGCTTAGTAACCATGGCGATCTCCGGTAACATGACTCGCTGGGGCCATTTAACACTCAGCACCTACTAACCTTACCTGCAAGCTCTGCAGGACGAGGTGAATTACCAATGTCCTTATGTCATTATTTGGGACACTGTCAGCTTTCATTGCACTGCTAAAATATGGGAACGGTTTAAAATCAATAAAACAAATCATCAATCCTACAGAGGAGCTCTTCTGCAGATGGAGATGGAAACGAGGAAAAACGTATATCTCTGCTTTGTGGTTAAATTGTATTTAAGATGCTTTACATTTACGTCCAAAATACAAAATATATTTGCTATAAAAAAAGATCTAAAATTGTCACTAACATCCAATAGAAACTTAAAAGAGTTTAAAACAAAATTCATTGTATTAAAGATTTAAATAAAAGCGTTATCTAGCTATTTTATTTAGCTATATATTTAGTTTTCCAATGCCTTTTTGCAATTCCTTTGTAAGATGGAGGCAGCCTAATTGCTGCAGAACTCATTTGGAACATATAGATTTTATCTTATTTTCTCTACTTGTTAGAGCAAAAACAAAAAGCTAATTCTAAAATGCTAAATGATACAAATACTTTAATATTTGTTATATTTTTTGTTCTTTTTTCTTTACTTCAATATTATATAATTTGTAGCTTTTTAATTTTGCACGTTTTTTTTTTTTTTTCAAACATTAAATCGCTTTTTAATTTGTCAGCCCATAAATTACCAACAGATTGATTTACATTTAAAACCCCTTTAACATCAGAGAAAACCTCCAAAAACCAATAAGTCGTCCTCTGGCTGCTTCATTTTTGTCAAAATTCTTATCAGATGAAAGAAAATCTAACCATTTCTGATAGAGGAGTTCATTATGAAATGAGAGCAGCAAAGACCTTCTGCACCCACCTGTTTGATTGGAGAAGGCGTTGTCCAGACTTTTGCTCAGAGGGGTAGCAGGGAGGGAGAGCGACGCTTGCACAGCAGAGTCCATCTTGACGTTGTCCTGCGTTGGGGAACTCGGAGCCGACATCCGGCCAATGTCTGCCTGCCTTTCTCGCACTGCCAGCTCCTGCCGCAAATCTTTAAACCCAGCAGAGGACAAGCAGGTTGGGAGAAGTTGCAGTTCATTTACGTTACGGTACTATTAAAAATCTTTATTTTCTTAATATCTGTATGTCAATAAGATGAGTGATATAGTGTATAATTTGTGGGATTCAGCTGGTAAAGACCTCTAGCTTCATCCTTTAATCTTTGAACTGAGACCAGCAGGGACTCCTTCTCATCCAGCTCGCTCTCCAGGAAAGCATTTCTCTCGATGGCCTGGTTCAGTCGCTGCTCAAAGTTCTCCAGGGAAACAATAGTGGCTCTGAGGAAATGACGTGTGATCACATTAGAACTATGATCTAAGAAAGAAACTAGAAACTATTTTAAGGAACAAAACATCTAAACAGACTAATCTCCACAGGTCACGTTTTCTTCAATGTTATTTGTACACAATTTAAAACAGAAAAGTTAATGACAGTGCAATAAAATAGGGGAATAACATTCACAGACCTCTTGGCTCTCTCCAGGTCATCGTTGGACTGCTCGAGCTCTCTGACATATTTGTGGAGCTGCTCCTTGATGCTACGAGTTTGGCCAAGGTCATCCTCCAGCACTGAGATCTGCTTGTAGCTCTGAGAGTATTGCTGCTCCAACCTTTCCTAAACATCGAGGCGAAGGGCGGACTTAGACAGATGGATTGCATTTAAGCTCGCAGTGTCATTTTAACCTCTACAGAGACTCATTTAGGTTAGATTTTTTTTTTTAGCTCCTATTTCTCGTCCCCATTCCTCTTTCTTTATTGTTCCCTCTTTTAGACTATTTCATCTTTGTAGCGGCTATATACTGTGACCCATATACCCACCAGACAATAAGCTCAATAAAAACCACAGGCGTTCTGTGTCTGACCCAGATATGGAGATGAATTGCTGTCTAAACTGATACCAAACAGCCTGAGCAGAGACTGCTGGGCATTCCTCACCTCAGGCGATCCTTCCAGCTTTTATGCCATAAGCCAAGATTTTAATTTTGAATATTAGGACCAAAGTCCATCCAGATATAAACTTTGAACTTTGGTGGAGGAGGTTGCATTTTCTTTGCTGCAACAACCAAGAGCAGCAAACCTCTACACGGCAATGCTACAGGGACATGCAATCTTTCTCCCAACTGTGCTTGGGGACAAAAGGCATTTATCTACAAACATTCATCCTCTTTTGCCGTGGTGTCTGTGCTGGAGTTCCACATCAAGGAGAACAAAGAGAAAAATAACTAAATGGACTTTATTCCCAAATGCCTGCTCAAGTGAAGCAGTTCTGAAGCCTTGTTCAGAACCAGATTGCTGAAAAACAGACTGTCTGTAATATTCTCTTTGAGTCTAAAGGAGCAGAGTAATTCAGAAGTCCCAGACTTTAATCCACAGCAAAGAGAGATCAAAGGACAGACCCATCCAGCAACATAGCTTTCCTGACAGTTGGAAACTCATCACCTCTCCAAAACAGAAACGAAAATTGGGAAAGAGTTTCCAGCTTAACAATTCTGTTTTTTGATTCATTTTGATAATTTCCTATGGCCATTAAACCTCCCGAGGGAAGAGCCTGGAAACCTTACGAGGGAGGCGTCCTGGGGACATGCGTAACAGATGTCCGAACCACCTCAGCCGACTCCTCTTGATATAAAGGAGAAGCGGCTCTATTTGGGAGTGCCTTGTATCTGGGAGGCATCTTGTTTTTTCCAATGTAACCAGATTGCATGACCATCGGTGAGACTAAGAACAACCGGTAAATTGAGATCTTTGTCTTTTGGCTCAGCTTCTTTTTCACCACAACAGACCGATGCAGCATTTGCACTGAGGCTGAGCCTTATGAATTAATTACTAGCGCTGTATATGTCTGTGTGTAGAGCAGGAATGGGGGCAAGCAGGTTGCAAGATAAAAAAGGGGGGGTGTTCACATAGATTTCCAGCCTTAAATCCTCACTTAACAAAGCAAACACTAAAACACTGATTTAGCACTAAAACAGATACAAATTGCTTTAAAATCAGCGGATGAAAACGATCTAAAATTTTCCCATCACAGTTGCATTAATCATATTTGTTTGTTTTTTTTTCCTTCACACCGATTAGGTTATTTCCGCACTTACCTTCAGGGTTTCCACCTCATTCTTTAGTCTTTGGTTCTCCGACTGCAAGTCTTTGATGCGGTGTTCGGCCTGACCCAGCTGAGCCTCCAGCTCGGCCTCCAGCTCCCTGCTCCCCTCCTGGAACTCCAGCAGTTCCTCCTGAGCCTCCTCACAGCTGTGAGCAGACATGTGAGAGGCCATTAAACCACCAGTTGGGACAGAAGGGGGTCAGGATGCAGGGCTGAGAGGCACGAATCAACTACTGCAGCTACAAACTTTATTTCATATCGCTCTGAAAGCCAACACTAAAATAATTTCTTACATTACAATTATTTCTAAAATTGTAGACTGTAAAAAGAACAGAAATAGACAAGGTACAAAATTCATTATTAAAATAAAGTAGAATTCCTGATCTAGATCTATGGCTTCAGACTCTGCTTCCAGACAATAGCTGCTTTGTTAATGTATTTTAAAGCAGACATGAAAATAACTTTCCAGCTGTTCTTTTGGCAAAGGTGTAACACACCTGAAACCCTCAGTCCACCATATAAAAACTGATCCTGTGCATCCAGAATATAAATTTACTTAGAAATAAATCCAACAGCTAAAGTAGGGGAATGTGACTTTAGCTCAGCTCTACCATCAAGTTTTGATTATCTAAGAGTCTGCTGGTGTAGTCAGGGACACATACAGACCCAGCGGTCTAAAAATGGCATCATGTGAGCTGAAATGTTGCTGGTGGCACAGAGCCAGGTAATCCATTTGTCCTCAGCACACTGAGGTGACCCTCAACGACGCTTTAAGCCGGTTTCTCCTGGAAAAGTCAGATCCTACATATATGCACACATTAACCTTCCTATCTGTGGAAATGAAAAAATAACGCTTGTAGCTCTTGTCAGAAAATTTTTATCTCTCTTCTATTATATATTAATTTATCCTATAGTTTTCACTCAGTCTGTTTCTCTCTCAAGGCCACACAATTCTCTGCAAGATGATGTTTGTAGACCAGACATAGCTTCTTCCCATAACAAACTACACTGCAAAAAATGTAAATCTAAATAAGTAATTTTTTTTTAATATAAGTGCATTTTATCCTGATTTGAGGAGATACATGAGACACTTTGCCAATGGAACAAGACAATTTACATTTGAAATAAGAAAAATCATGTGCATTGTCTTGATTCAAGTGCATATTATCTAGTTAACTTATTTTAAGTGTAAAAATACTCATCCCATTGGCAAACTATCTTATTTACCTGCTCAAATTAAGGGTAAATACACTTGATTTAAGAAATTTTTACTTAATTTCAGATTGTTTTTGCAGTGTAGATTCTTTCTCAAGGTTTATTCATAAGATGTTACTGTTTAACCAAAGTGTCTGTAATTTGTTTTGACTTTGACTACTTTTGCAGTGTTCTAAGTAAGGGGGAACGTGCGCTGTCCAGATCAGAACAGAGCAGAATTTTGTGCCATAAGGGCTTCATGATGACTGTTCTCTCTTTGCAAAGATATGAATAAATGTGCCGACTGAGTGAAATCCATCGATCTCCGTTTATTTAACTAGGATGAATAGTTGAATACTTTTTCCCCACGACACTCTTAAATTTTCATTATATATACAGTCTATTTAGACTTGAATTTGCAATAATGTTCATAAACTATGACACCATTTAATTGAGCTCACAAACTTACTGTATTTTATCATAACCCAAAGGAGGATCAGGCAAGAACACCTTCTTCCCGCGCTTTAGTCTCCTCCACATGGAAACCCATGTTATTATTAAAGTGTTTTGTCATATTTTGCTATGTAAGGAATGCTTCTGCAGAGGTAAAAAAAAAAGGTCATCATTTAATGATGTTCTTTAAAGGAAACCTCTCATCAGATCATCTATAAATAACCGGCTGCCTTGGCTTTAAAGGAAGCTCATTGTCTGAAAACTTTCCCTCAGCTGGGCGTTGGATGGTGCAGGCTTCCTTTGACAGAGTTCAGTTTAATCTAAACAAGTTATGTATTCCAGTTAAAAGAGTCGGGTAACTTTAAAAGCCTTTAGATTAAGAGAGAATCATTGTGCAAAAATAGGAAAAAAAAAACAACAACAAAGAGACACAGAGGCTCTTTATATCCTCACTGAAACATGAGAGACACTTTCCCTGCTCAGTGGGTAGAAGAGTGTCACTGGAGATGGAAAAACTGGTTTCATTTGAGAGCCCTGAATGACGAGATAAAGCATTCCTAAACTGTCCGACACTCCCATAAAGACAAAGAACCCACAGCGTTTCTAGCAGATCTATCAGCCCAAATGCAGCTAAACATGTTTTAATGCAGAAACAGATAAACTAAATATGTGTATTTCTAAACAAATGCCCAGAAGAAATACCAGCTCTCTAACAAATAGACTCAAAATACAACAATGTGGAGCAGCGCATCTGTATCATTGACTTTTTTAATCTATTTCTGAAAGCTATAAAAGCACTCATAGAAAGAAAAGATCTGTCGTTTAAAGGGTGACAATATAAATACCAAAAAAAGATAAATAGGACATAGAAAGAAGATGCACAAACTTAGTATGAAGAAAAATGCTTTCTAACAGCTGAAAGCAACTAGATACATCATTCTTTAATGTAAGAAGAGGAAACGGAAAAGAAAACGTATCTGTATGACACTAGAAAAAGTATGGCTTCAAAAGACTGAACTGCAAAAAATGTATACATTTCTTAAAATAAATGTATTTACCCTTCGTTCAGGCAGGTCAGTGAAATAATTGCTATCGGGTTGAGTACTTTTTGTCCCTAAAATAAGAATTATATAACCTACACATGAAATAACACAACAGAGGGGTTTTATTTTTGCACAAAAATCTTATTTCATAAACAGATTTTCCTCACCTACTCAAATAAAGTGCAAATCCACTTTTTCAAGAAAGGTTTACTTATGTTTTTTTGTCTTTACTGAGATGTTTAAAATCATCAAGTGTTTTGGACAATTTTATTTCAACCAACCTGATGAACTCAACCCTTAATCGGCCATTTTAAAGCTTTGTTCAGTCACATTAACCAGATCTAGACTTCATTCCTGTTAGATCTAAAGATGAATGAAACCACAGAAATAGAACCTGACAGAAAACGTGAAGTAGGTAAAACAGTGGCGAAGCTTTCAAGTAGTGTTTTTTATTTTCTAATATCATGGAATTTTTAAGTAAACATACCAATACCGACCTAGGGTTACAAAAATAAACTTTTCTGCAGGGAAGGACCTTTAGCTGTGTTCTAATTACTTACCCTTTCTTGTACTTGAGGGAAAGAGCCTTCCAGAATTCAATTTCCTCGTCCTTGGAGGAGAATTTTGGCATCATGTCCATTTCCATGGTAAACCAGTCTAAAGGAGAGAAGATTGGAAATTACAGATATGACCTTATAATATATAAGATATGACCGTAACTTTATAAAGAGTGAAATAAAACTATCATAATTCCTGTTTTGGGGGTTTTACTTTGTAAACATTAACTGCACATTCATTCACACCCATGTTAAGCTGAGGACTGTGTGGCTACAGAAAGAAACCTGGTTCTGTATTAAGATAAAACATGACTTAATAACAAACTTTAAATTTGTTATTCTGCTTAAAGCTCAGAGGATGGCCATTTTCAGGTTTTTACATAAAACATCATACACTGTAAACATGACTGGGTTATTTCATTTTAAACCAAATGGGTTTAGACTTTTGGAGAGTTTTAACCAGATTGTGACTCGGTTTGAACTTCATAATTGTTTACAGGAGGCCAGTTTCAATGAAACATCACCTTAATCAGACTTTTATAGAGGATGAAGTTAGACATTTTAAGATAATAAATCAGTGCTGTATAATAAGGTTGATGATCTAAGTTCACACCAGAGAGCGAGTTTATAATCTTAAAATTATATATTTGTATCTTTATTTATATATATATATATATATATATATATATATATATATATATATATATTAAAGTATGTATCAGACTCAGACATAGTCCGAATCTGAGTCTGATATGGTCTGGGTTGTTAAGGGTTAAGATGAAGACAGATCAGATGATCAAATATTACAAGCAGATTTAAGGAAGACTTAGAAGAAAGCATTAATCTGTGACCGATATTGCATAAAGATATAGATAGAATGATAAATATATAGATATTGAATAAACATCTAGAGAGAATGAATAGATAGATCTTTTTTTAAATCTAACATCAGACATTATTGGTGGGTTTAGGCGGACACAGCGATGATGCTGTTGAGCTCAGCTGTCAAAACTGGGTGTGCAACAATCCCAACACACACGGCCATTTACAAACACGTGGTTATTTCACTATTTTTTTTCATTTTACTGCGAGAAAAACATAATATAAAAACAGAGAACCATCGTTACCTGATCATCGCTTCTAAAGGTTTGGTTTGTCAGTCCATCGCTGCTCGGGGCTGCTGAGGCTGGCCGTCCTCCACTCCACTGAGCGCTGCGGGAATTTAAAGGGGAAAGCGCCCTTACTTTAAATTTAATGACTTATTTTTAAAATAATAATAAAAAATATTAATGATAGCTTGTAAATAAAAAAGCAAACTGAAGCAAAAAAAATAAAAAAATTACAGAAAATAAATCTAAATGTTAGTGCTCTAGCGAACCTGCTCCACGGGCTTTACTGCTGCGCACATATTGCGCATAAAGACAGGTCCTTTAAATCGCCGCCTGCTGGTGACCTAAAACCACAGCTTGTCCCTGCAAATAAAGTATCTTCAAAGGGAAAATTGTTAGTATAGTTTAGCAAACAATAAAAGCTAAATATTATTATTCACAGCCATTTAGTTTTTTGCTCCTTGGGTTACAAAAGCAACCAGGGGAGTCTAATGTAACCAGGCCAGATTTAGACAGAGGTGTTGAGTAAGAAAGTAAAAATACTTCATTACTGCACTTAAGTACACTTTTTAGGTATCTATACTTTACTCCATTACTTATTTTTCTTCCTACTTCTGACTTCTACTCATTACATTTTCACACAAGTATCTGTACTTTCTATTACTTACATTTTTTAAACAAACATTACCCGTTACTCTTCGCTTCGGTTTAATTTTTATAAATATTTATTTTACGTCATGTGCGCCATCCAATGCAGACCATTGGCGCCATCCACATCTAGTGAAAACTAGTGTAATTGGATGAGTCATATAACACAAACACTCATTGGTTAGCTAAAGGAAATCATCAGAAGCAAGCAGGTGTTCTTCAAACTGCAAACAGGAATTGTCTATGCCATGCTACAATGTTGGATTTAGAAAAAGATGTTTAAATTTCTGAAAGGTCGGACACAGATGAGAGCGTATCGGGAGATGGAGACCAACAAGACCTCCTATCATCCCAAAGAATTTTTCGAAAAAGTTGAAAAATTTAGCTTTAAATTCATATATTGGCATCTGGCTGTTTTCTTTTAAAGGTTACTTTATACTTTTATACTTTAAGTAGTTTTTGGAGCACATACTTTTTCACTTTTACTTGAGTAAAGAGGTGAAGTAGATACTTCAACTTTTACCAGAGTGTTTTTAAACTGCAGTATCTATACTTCTACTTAAGTAACAAATGTGTGTACTTTTGACACCACTGGATTTATACATGTAGTTCAATCTGAACCCTAGATGGTATTCATCTTGCTTTGAGGTAAGAGCTGATACTGAAGAGGTTAAAATTATTTTTTTTTTAAATTGAATTGAGCTTAATTTTAATACGATAGGCGGTAAAATCTACAACTTAAAAGTTTTTTACAGTAAGGCTGCAGCAAATGTTTTCCACAGAAGGTGAAGGAAATCAGCAGAATTATGAAACTATCAAACAATACTGGAGCTAAATGGAAAGTGACTCAGCAGCCTGCATCGATTTCCTTTGAGTTTAGCTGTTAGAACAGTTAAATTTAAAATGCTCCGAGTTTGTGGTTCATCAGTTTCATTACAGCTTCTTGAAAGCTTGTTTAAGCAGCGACTGTCGTTTCCACTGTCAAGCTGCTGCCCTTCCAGGTCCCAGTATGCAAAATCTTTGCAACTAAAATGTGGAAGGTAAATATGTGAACAGAATCGGTCTCATCAGGTCCCCGCTGGAAGCTAAGATTGTTTACATGAACAATGATATGGAAACCAGGCAGTTCAAGCAGTGGAGCTACAAGGTGAGCTGTTTACATTTTATTTCCAACACAAACATTAGGTGCAGATGGATGTGACAACAAATGTAATCATGATAACCAGTTTTTAATGGATAGTCCAGATATTTATGATTCTCTCTGATACTGTTAGGTTTTCCCTTTTATTTGTCACCCGTTCTGTGTTTAGTTTTGAAGCCGACTTGTGTCCTGCAGGTGCTGCATTCGGGCCTGGTGAAGAGGCTGGAACAAGATGAGGAGAAGAAGATGGCTTGGTTTGCAGTGTCCTGACTGAGCTGCAGGAGCTTATCCAGCATTTAGAACCTCCTCTGGCTCAAATCAAAGAAGTTGAAGGTTGAAAACATGTAGGTAAACAGTACACATTTTTAAAGATCTATAGAAATGAAAATGAGAAGAATGTAGCATGTAGTTTATTAATCTGCTGTTTCATATAATCACTTTTACTGCAGCCCCAGCTCTAAGTCTTTAGGAGTATGTATATACATTGTAAAATTCAACTCTTAGTTTGAATAAAAACTTCCAGTAACATGTGGTGTCTATAATCATTATAAATGTGGCATGAACTGTTGGAAAAAGACTTTTTGATAACTCAAAAAATGTGAGTCCATGCATGAGGCTGAAAAATCTGAAAGAATTGGAGACTTGTGCAGATCATTGTGACCCTTTTGGCAGATTTATTTTTGGCCCTGGATGTGGCCAGACAGCATCAAAAGTTGCTGTTCTGATGTATCTGATCTATTTAAGGGTATAGATCAGGGATGGAAAACTGGTTCCAGAAAGGGCCGTGTGGCTGCAGGTTTTCTTTCCAACCAAACAATAGCACACAAGACTTCATTCCTTCATCATGTTCTGATTGGACTGACTTGATGAGTATACAGGGTAGTGGGCCAAAAACACCAGAGCTGTTTGCAACAAAGACAAAGGACAACAGGGTAAAATAAAAACATGTTTAATAGTTTCAACATTCGGAAGATTATTCTTTTTTTTTTTTCCCATCTTACACTGAATTCCACTTAGTGACCAAGAGATAGAATAAGTTTTTCAAAGAAACGTCATTTCCTATGTAATCCAAACTGGAATCAACAGCATCACTATAGTTTAACACAAAGATTAAATCAAATGTTTATTTCCTTTTTCAGTTTGGCCCACCAACTTGTTTCTTGAACCTTTGCAAAACGGCAAAAAGAAGAGCGGTGAACATTTTGGCTGCAAGGACTGCATGCACCACAGTGTTACTACGCACTAAACTGGAGAATTCTAGGATATACGATTCCAGTAGATTAATGTCCAGTTGTTTACTAAAACAGGGTTCTTGTTCAGGATGTTGGTCTCTGTTTTAAGCGGCTTTGCTTTTGCACGACAAGGTGGAGCATATGAGGTTAGGGGAAGGAGTAAACATTTGAATAATTAAACAGAACTCAATGGGAGTTTTGCTATAAAAAATGGGAAAGGGAGGTTTAGACGCTTACGTCCTGCAAGGCCAGATCTTTTCTCTAAACAGAAATAAGTACAAGCACATTTAGATAGGACCAAATATAAGACATATTTCCTAGGCATGGTAAAAATACATGCTGCAGAAATGCACAAAAGACAATGTTGAATTGAATCCCACAAAACTGCTCATGTTTCACCCATCCAGTCTAAAATGCATGAAACAACATGGATGCCTTAAACACATCTGCCTCCATCGTAACCTTTGAGGTGAATAATGTTGGTACATTCGACCTGTTTGTGTAGAAAAAGGCTTCATGTTTCAGTGCTAAAAAAGCAGCGGTGCTGGAAACTATCTGGGGAAATTATGTGTTCTGAAAAAAACATGAATTACTGCTAAACAGGAATCGACACAAAGAAGGGACAGACCTTTGAGTTCTTACATTTTTTCTCTTCCTAATGCAAACTACTTAATTAATACTGTTAATGCAGGATTCATCTGCACAGGTAGGACCTGACTGACTGTGACGCCACAGCAGACCAAACTCTTAAAAACCATGCAACCTGACCTGTGATTACTTTAATATCCTGCACAGGTTCCTTCCAATAAATATGATCACCAAAAAGTTCATTTATTTCAGTAATTATGTTGGAAAAGAGTAACATATATAGATTTACACATCTTCCCCGGCTAATTTGTATGGTTGATTGCTGATTTAAATCTAAAACCCAGCTCCTCAGTAAATGAGAATACTTCATCAGACAATAATTACACTTTTTTTTTTAGTGCAGAATGTACATACAGGAGTAGTTTGTAGTATAGAAATGTTCTGCAGCTTCACAGTTTTAGTCTGAAAGGTTTGGAGGAGATTCCCAAGATATGGACTGCTGGAGTGACCAGTAATGTTTCCAGGACGATGGCTAACACTGCGTCAACCTTATTACTCCTGCATTTATTGGTCTCACCATAGTACTCGTACTCTTTGTCTTTGTTTTATCAGAGAACGGATAAAGTGGAAAATAGCTTAATAGATAAACAGAATTTTGATATTTCACTAACAGCAACCCATAACCACAAAAACAAACAGAGGAAAAGGTCATAAATACCTCATTCTTTCTGCAGAACTTTAAATATAACTACTGAAATAAATAAATCCTTTTAGTGTGATTTAGTTTCTGCAAAAATGCCAATTCCCATGTTTAACTTTACAGCCGCTCGTCACTACTTGATTTTTTTTAAAGGAAATCAAATTACCATAATTTATTTTTACCAACTGGACTCCCACTATCAGTTAAATGTAAATGCAAAAAGAAATTCTACATAATCAGACATTGATCCTAGTACATGCTAGGACCAATCATCACAGCTGCAGGTTCTGCTGATAAATAGTGTATAATGGGTGTTAGCACATTCAGAAAGTGATGCCATAAAAAAAAGACGAATTATGCACAAAAGATACAGAGTTAATTATCATTTAGCTGCAGGGATATGTCTGGCTTGATAGAAAAACAGATGCAGGTTTGTCTGTAAAGCTAAGAGGGACTGAGAGAAATCAGGATTTTTGGACAAGTGCTTTGTTTTCACAAAAGAAAGAGGAGCTATTGTTTTTTAAATCTTTTTATCTGACGTGTGAATGTGACATTATTGTGCTACAACCACCAACCTTAAAACTATATATGTACAGTATGTTTTGTTTTCATTATATCTGAATAGATTCTGATATATTTGACTCTTCCTGCTGTCAGTATATACAGATCAAATATGTACAGATGCTTAAAGATTTTACAAAACTGTGAGAGAAGATGGCAGAGCAGCACAGAGGATGTTCTCAGGACAAAAGCTAAAGGTCCAACAGGTTGGATGGGTCTTGACAAAACCCTCTGCAAGGCAATTAGCAAACCGCTGCTCTTATCCTAACCCCAACCTCGTTACATCAGTTCGACTGATTTTCAAGTTTCAATGCGGCAGCAGAAAAGAAAAAAAAAAAAAAACTGTCCCTGTGTCTGATTTCCTTTTTAAAATCCTCAGACGAGATTCACATGAGGCGCATATTTTCACAGCTCCTCACACCAAGTAAACTGTACTCAAGACATATATCTATAAATACTCTCATCAAAATAAACAAATGTACAGGTATCTTTGCATTTGCCTCTGGATCACCGGTAAAAAGTGAAAATATCAGCATCATCAGAGTTTCCTTTACTGTAACTGCAGATGTAATGGCACAGTGATGGAAAAAAAAAAAAATGCACCCACTTATAAAAATACAGCACATTTTTTTGTTCTGGTGATGTTTCAGAGGGGTTATAATATGACACATTTAACCAATGATCATTCTGGAAAGGAGTCCGGAGCGCAACGCAACACAAACTGGTTTCAGTACTAAGCTGCTGCTAGATCACCACCTGCTGCTTCCACCCGGAGGTAAAACATTCACTGCAGAGATGTTTTAGGTGACGTGATGATGTAGCTCGACTGATATAAATCTACACTGTATTTGTATCTAGCCAGTTATGCTATCCTCCTTCTTTTACTTGAGGTACTTGACCAGTTAGAAACCTCACTTGATTGTGGCAAATTCTGATCATCTCTTGCAGAGCGAGCATAATTAGGATGCACATATAATTCTGACAAACTGACTCACAATAGCGATCAGAGCACATAAATATCTAAAAAACATCTAATTTGTGCCTCAGTATTGAGCTTTACTGAGTTTATGGAACAACCTTTTCTCTAAAAGCTCTGCACATCTAGAGACAAACATTGTTCAGCCTCCTGATTTGCAAAAAGGCTTTAAACTCAGTCGTATAATTTTTAGAGTATTTATGAAGATACATTTTCAAGTCTTGCACAAATTCTCCACTGGATTTAGGGTCTGGACTTTAACTAGGCCCTTCTAACAGACATATATAAACCGTGTAGCTGTAGCTCTGGCTTCGTTTTGTGTTAGAAGGCACTCCACCTATATTTCCACCTGATCTGTGCAGCTTTTCTTTCTCTGCGGTTTTCCCATATCATGATGCTATTACTACATTGGGGGGGGCGACGATTTAAGGAAATTTCCCCCTCAGAAAAATGGTGTAAGGTCTTATCTGACCATGGCCCTTTCTTCCACATGCTGGCTGAACATCTGCAGAGTGGACTCCTCATGTCTTTGTTCCTGCCACTCTTCCATAAAGGTCAGAGTTCTACATGACAGGTTTAAATAGACTCCCGCCACATTAGATGTGGATTTCTGATTATTCCTTTTATTCTGATACCACTGCGGATTTTACCAAGTAAGCTGAATATACATGCAACAGTTTTCAGATAGAAAAATTTCTTTCTTTTTTTTTTTAAAATACACATTTCCTAACGTCAGAGAACACCTGATGCTCTGTAGTGTAGACCTACTTCCTCAGTAAAGAGGCCAGTCCTGCTCTAGCACTTGAACAGCTTTAACGTGGTTTAATAGCAATTTTCAGCAACCTTCCCGCGACTCGATGATGAAATTTAAAAAAGGCCCCACACAGCTTTGTTTGCTGTAATTCTAAACTGCTAAATCTTTCATAAACTACAGTATGGATGTCATGTCTCAGAGTTACCTGCATTGATTAAAAGTGAAAAGCATCTCTATATAACTCTCCTCTTCGTACAAAATATGATCTAATTCAATTTCTGTTGTAAATATGTCAAACAATCTGAAAACATACTGTAGAAACAATAAATATCCAGTGTCTGATGTCAATTTTTTTTAAAGAAAAGCAAGTTTAAGCTTTTAACCTCGTTATCATGTCAAAGGGTAAATCCCTAGAAGTCAAAAATAATGCATTCCTGCTTTTGCTCCACGACACCATTAGTACAACACCGTATGTCACATCACACACTAGCAAAACACACAAACGCACACACACTCACAGTGAATGCTCAGGCTGGACACAAGTCTGGGGCCAACACATACACCAGCTAGGCATTTCAGACGGACACCCCTGAGGAGTGACGGGGAAAATGAAATCATGGTGGTTAAAACATGCAGTGATGTCATTTCTTCTCAGCTTCACTGATTTCAAAGCAGCAGCAGCAATGAGAGACTCATTCATCCACTATCCAGACAGCCTCCTTTGCGGCGTTAAAGGCAATATTGCATGTGAATCAAATAAGGCAAAACAAATAAAAAACATAAAAAAAATGGTAAAACAATCCACCAACTGCAACTGCACAATGCAAATTGTGGAAATGGAAAGCTGCTTGTGCTGAGGCTCTTGTTTTCACATGTCGTTTTTTTCTGGATTGGGGGCAGATGAGGTCAAACCAGGAGAGCAGCTGTCCAGGCTGTAGACCCAGTGTAGGTGGTGATGTTGGGTAAGGAGAAAACTGTAGGGGTCATAGCACTGTGCTTTCGGACTCCTCCTCAGAGTCCGTCCTGCTTTTGGTCGACTTGAAAAGTGCCAAGTTCCTAAAGGGGGAGATGTGCGCCAGGTCGAAGATGCTGTCCAGCTCCATGTTGATGATGGGGATGTCCAAGTTGCAGAGGGAATCTGGCAGAGCAGATAGAGAGGACAGAGATGAGCAGACATATATCTTAAAAATGTCTACTAAAGTAAAACATAAAGATGTAGACGGACATGGATCACCTGGATCAATGTCAGAACACAATAAAGAATCATCCGAGATCCAAACGGGATGTGGAATGAATGGCTAAAGGAAAAAAAAAAGAAGCTTGGGAGGAATGCACTGTTTGAATGTTATATCCTAGCATTTACAACATGCTCCACACAAATCATGATTTTTTTTTCTGTCTGCATTCTCATTTTTATCTCAAAAAATTTAAATATTATATAAGTCCAATAAATAAGGGCTTCAAAATGAAATGTGGGTAAACTGAAAAGTGCATACATGTATTGAAGGTAAATAAACTCAGGGATCTTTGCGTGTCTCTATGATCTTTGTAGATTCAAACACAATTTTAGCATTGAGGCAATAAAGCTGCAAGCAAAGGCAGCAAATTATGACAGCCATTTTTTTTTTTATTCAAAGTGATGTGTTTACGGCTAAATTACATTTTTTTTTGAAAGAAAAAATCTTTTTTTCCTCATTTATCAGTTGGGTAGTTCCATTCATCTCAGTTTTGTAGTAAAAAGCAGTTTGAATTATTTTCAAAGGGCACTTTGGACTGAGCAAACTGTTCTTCTAACACACTTTTTCCTTCCACCAAACTTTCCATTACTCAGCTTGGTTCCATCACCACCTTTTGTATTGGCAACCATGGCTTAACATCTTGGAGGAAGGTGTACATTTATGTTACAAAAATATTTGTACAGTTCTACGTAGTATTCAGATTTTAAGAGAAACTGAATCTTAAATGCATAATATATGATTCTCTATGTGTAATGATAAGGGCTCAGCTCTTTGCTCGCTTACTTTAGAGACACAGAGACATACCCATGCTGGATTGACTTTTATTCTAGTTGTTTTTCAGTGTGATATAAATCAAACTGAAATGAGCAGAGCTTTCCTAGCTTTCCAAGCTTGAAGGATCTTTACAGAAGCACCAATTATAACCTGAGAAAACAGATCTTTGCTCTAAATTTGGGAGGAAAAATGCGAAATATTCACACTAAAGCCATTCATGCTAACCTATGATTGGATAAAAACCTGTACCTATCTCTGAATGTTAAAATTAATTAAATTTCTTACTTGGAGAAAGTCTGAGCAACGTTTTAGCATCAGACATATTCAGACTTTTAGTCTGAAGGATTTCAGTTTACTTTATTCTAAATCAGGGATCTTTAACATTTTCCACGATAAGGACCCCCAAACTGATGGCGACATGGAGCGGGGACCACCTAAATATATATATTGTATGAAATTGTGTTCTATCAAACGTGGTCTTATAGTCACTCTATTACAAATAGTGTCATGTAATGAAAGTAATTTCTCTCTGGGATTATTAAAGTATTTCTGATTTGGATTCTTCATTGACGGGACAGGTGTTGTAAATGAAACGGTGCCCAGCTTGAAAGAGCTCCTGTGTGTCACTGAATGTGTGCATTGATGCCTGAAAGACATCTTCTGCCTCCATTTATTTCTTTATTTCAGTGTGTTAAATTCATGTTAATGTGTATTTGAAGGCCTTTCAATTACTTTAAAAAATTTTATGGGGGGATATAAAAAGAAAAGTCTTATCAACCAAAACTTTCTCGACCCCCATGCAGTATCTTCGTGGACCCCTAGGGGTCGCGGACCTGTTGAAGACCTCCATTCTAATTAATAATAAAATATAATCCTTCAATGTGCTATCAGAAGTTAAATTCTTTAGACTTTAAAAAAGTTCAATCACTTTATTTTATAAAGAATGTATCCAATTAGTTTGATCATGAGGAAATGACTGGAAATAAACAGAAATGACAACAATGATATAATCATTATTCATTATAATGCAGCCAAAACCACAGGATCAGAATCAGTTAAAATGATGTACTTTCCTCAACATCAACCTGATATTAAGCTAAAGGAAAGCTGCACTTTCCTGCATCTTTTGTGGGAATCATGACATCTGTAGTGTAACAAACATAAACTGCCACATACAGGAAGTGTGTTTATAGGGCAGAGATTCACGATAGCAATATGGTGAGAGTCAGGGGATCGGTTGGAGCTGTGACTGTAGCGACTGGGAGATGGAAATGTGCAGGATTCCTATTGGTGGAAAAGCATAGTGTCCTCTGTGGCACCCATGCATCAATCTCAGCCTTCATGCAAATGCCGACAAATGTAAGCGTTTGGATGTATAAAGGTGATACAGCACCTTCTATCTCTACTTGCACCCCTGGTGAAGATACAGAAAAAAACTAATCTTTATTTTTTTATGGCTTAGCTGTTAACTTGCAAACTGAATCTTAAAATTGTTTTTCTTTTAATGCTTTTAATGCTTCTTTTTCTTTCGAATGATTAAGAACTCCCTTTGCTAAAAACAATCAGAGTCCTTTGTTAACTTAAAATATAGTTTATTAGTATTTTGTTTAGCAGGTATAAGAGCATTTTTAATTATTATTTCAAAGGGGCTGGTTTTTTTTCTCCCATGTTTTAAAATGTCTGGACACCAGAACACTGACATGTCTGTAAAACAACTCATATGAAAAATTAGGATTATTTTGTGCTTTACGTATCCTAACTGTTTTAAGTTGTTGGTTTTGTTATAATTTTCCCACAAAATGACCAAAAGATTGTCCATTTTTAGATTTCTTGTGGAGAAAAAAAGATTTTTGTCAAAAATATCCTAATATTTCAAGTAATAAGTCATGGCATTTCTAAGAGAACAGGCCCACAGTATCACGGACCCTCCACCAGGCTTAAGTATGGCTTTTACTTTGTTTTAGCCATTTCTCAGAAGAGGCTTAATCTGGCGGCTTAATCTGGTGCCAGTTTAAGTCCTGATAGGGTTTAGCAAACTCTTTCTTTTCTGGAGGAAATCCATTCTGAATGAACCCCTAATATCATCTTAATTCCTGTTCTCTATTTGTAATCTGTTGACGTTTTTGTTCCATCTTAACATCGTCCTATGGTCTGAGACGGAAATATACATATCATTGATCCTCCTTAAATACAGGAGAATTAGGTGAGTGGCCTTTTTTCTGGTGGCCATTTTTACAGAACTGATTAATTTGAAAGGGATCCTCCCTTACTTTTCCCATTTTGAAAATAAATTGACAGGTCAAATTGGGATTCTTTAATCACTAAAACATTTCAGAAACAATTGAAAGATATTAGACAACCTTACAGTAAAACAACAGCAAATGCATTGCTTTTAAATTACAGCAATTACTTGAAAAATGCTATTAAGTATCAACTATAAAAAGAAAGCTTGCAAAGAGACTAAATAAATATTCTCAAATTAAAGGCTTTTCATTTTAAATTATTTTATCATTCTTATCAGGGGTGTCCAAAGGAGAGAAGAGTGCTGTAAAGGTGACATAAATAATAATAAAACTGAGCGATGCAGCCGCAGAGCAGAGAAACCAAACCCAGATTCTGCTGCTGGCAGCAGCATAAAGAGATCCTTATAGGCTCCATGTTTAGGTGAGATGGCAGAGGGGGCGAAGGGATGATGGGACGAGAGGAGAAGAGGTTCTTCATAACAGGAACTCCTGCTTACCCTAAAAATGCCCTCTGACACCTTGAATGAAAGTGAACCTCGCCCCTCATACGGCTGTAAGTTGGGACAACCAAAACAATCGCACAAGAAGGAAAAGTTAGATCTAAACAAGATGAGAATCTGCAAAACATCAAGCGGCATCAAGACAGTCCCTTATAGAAAAACATTACACCAAAACAGGCAGAACAGATTAAGAAACCTATATAAAGGGTAATATTAATTAGTTCTAAAACTGTTGTTTAAAAGGATCTGTAAGTCCCTCCAGTTGCAGCATATTTAAATAATTAAACCATTAACAACATAAAAAAAAATAAAAAATGGCAATAAGGTGTCAATTCTCCCTATTTGAAGTATTGCTAACAAAGCGTCTTTATTCAAAGATATTAGGTATAACATTATGGCCACTTTAGCTGCTTTGACTCGCAAAGATTAATGAAGGCTGCCCTAAACAGTTTTCAGGTAACATCCAGATACCGCAGCAAGCCTTCAGTGGTCGAGTAAAGTCTATGATGTGGTTTGATTATAGGTTATGAAACAGCGACCACCACACCTTTATGAAGGTGATTATGATGTTATGACTTATCATTATAAACTTCTCATGTTACCCAACTCATCTTGGATATTTTCATTGTTGACAATATAATGTTTCCCCACAAATGGGGAAACGTTATATGTTTTTTATTTTTATGTAATCTTGTTTTATGTAATCTTGTTGTAAATCTGGTCAAATTAAGAATAAAAGTTACAACTTCACCCAAAAACTGTGAGACATTTCAAATATAACTGTAAAACATACCCACTTTTAAATGCTAAATGAAACTTTCACATTTTCACTGTCAGGGTAAAAACTGTTTAGCTCCACATTTAAACTAATATGTTATATATGACTAAAAAGCTAATCTACTGATAACCCTTCAGCTGGGGTTTCATTGACAAAGATTTTAAAGTCAGATTTCATTTAATATTCAGGACAACCAATTATGCGTTTTTAATATTTTTGCATGTTGATACAGAAAGTAATACCTCATCTTTATTCATACATTTTACACTAATTTTTTGCCTACAAATGTATGTAAAAAAATTGGTGTTATTTTCTATAATTTGAATATCGATGTATACCTTTACACCACCACTAGGCGTCCCACTAGAGCAGCAGAGATGTAATAAAAAAAGAAGCTTCAACTCCTTCACAAAGGGGTGGATTTCTTTTTAGAATAGAAAACCAGAAGAACATGGAAGCCTATATTGATCATTAGGCCTGCTTAATCATTTTGTATATTTATCCATTACTGCAGGATCTTGATTACATCCTTCTTATCTAGACTAAACTATGAGATGCAGTGTTCTATTAATAAAACATCATTAAATAAACATATATTAACATTAAGTCATATCAAAATAGGAAAAGTTTGGAACTGTGGCAAGTAATCACGTCTAATAAATTCTAGAGACTAAAGCTATTTTTCATAAAAAGGAGAAATAAATTAAAGTGTAGCCTAACTTCTTTCGAGTTTTACTTGCAAATATTGAACTATAATATTGAACTTGTTCATATTTTCAAAATATGGACCTGAAGTCCAATGACATTTCCTGCTATATTACCTGTGGACATGCTTTCTTCTGGAGGTAAACCATCCAGGAGACCAGATAAATGCTCCAGAGGCTGAGGACTAGTGCCGGGTGTGCTGGGGGGTTGAGGTGGAGGCAGGCTGGGCCTCTGACGGGGGGGCTTCGGGGTTGGTCTGGGCTTGTTGAGTGTTCCTGCCAGCGAGGGCGGAGAAGACAGAGATGGGGTTGTTGCCGTCTGGGTCTGAATTGGAGAACCAATGGTGGCGTAACCCTGTGGGTAGCTAAAGCCATAGGGGGAAGGCGTGCTCGGAGGGGTCGGCGACAGGCTGACCGGAGACGGCTGACCTGTCGACTGGTCGGATATGGCTCCTGACTGGCAGTAAGGGCCTTTAGGTGGAATAGGCGCAAGTTTCTTTGCTAGAATAAGAAAAGAAAGAACCCCAATTAGATCTAAAGCAAGTCCAAAAAGTGTGCAAACCTTTCAAAACAACATCTTTCTTAAAAATGTAGGAATCGTGTATAAGAACTATACTGTGTACAATTCAAGTGAAGACAAAATAATCTTTTAGCATGAAAATGATCAGTCTAATTTACTAAAATGTGTTTTATTCATACAGAAACTTTAAAAAGGAACAAATTGTTAACCAAAGTGCTGTAAAAAGAGTATAAGTAAAACATTTTAAAAACAGACACAGAATAATATTAGACAAGAAACAACTCAGGAGGGGGGGAGACAAAAAAGTCATGAAGTGCTGAACTTCCTGCTAAAAGAAAGTATCTTCAAAAAGGACATAAATAAAACAGTGAAAGAGTTTGCTGAACATATAGAGGTAACCCTCTCCACAGCTTAGGGGTTGCAACCATAAAAAAAACTAATAACCTGTGAGCTTTAGGGATGACTAAGAGTAGCAGGTTTACTGACCTTCAAGATTTTGCAGCAGAGCATGAGTGTAGATATTTAAATACAAATAAAACCAATTTTAAAACCATCTATACCTCACAGCAAATCAATAAAAAGCAGCCAGAAAATGAGTAATATTCTTATCCTTCCTTACCCCCAAAAAACACAATATCTGAAGAGACATTTAGACAGAATGTTTCAACAGTAGATAGAATTCATTTCACCAGTTCAGGTCAGCCTCACCTCTCCTCAAACTGTGTGGGCTGTGCTCGGAGTGTTGTGATTGTCCACTAGAGGTCACTACTCCTTGGAGTCCCTTCTGTCCAATCACAGGAGACAGCTCCTTATTTTTCAGAGTGCTGCAGAACAAAGCAGGCCAAAGAAAGAGGTGTTATATTATAGTTTAGTTATGATTCAGAGCTATCGTATTCTGTGGGAATAGTAGAAATTTGAGGAGACCCATAGTTTGATGTCACAATGTCTGCTTGGCCTCTGCTGCATGGGCAGTTTGTTAATCTACAGACTTAATGGATCTTTTACCCTTGTACAGAATGCAGACAGAATGCTAATGTTAACACTTAATTTAAAGGTCAGAGTATAGAGAGTTAATGCTCTGACTGTCAGTCCCTGGATGATCATTTCTAGGTCTTCCCACAATGAACAGAAGATCCAGGCTCGGATCGTTAAAGCTGAAAAGGAAATTTTACCCTGATTTTAAAATGATTATTTCCCTAAAAGATGTTTCCTTCACTGGTGTTTCCTGTGTGTTCGCACAGATGGTAAGATCTTACTGGACCTACTGGGCTCACTTGTATGACTCATGAGCGCCCACTGTTACGGGCGTATTCAGTGGGAGCTTTGAATTTTCTTTGTTGCATGGCAACCGTCTCCCGAATATCTTAGCAACATGGATTGTTATGGAATTTCCAAACCAGGCAATTGTAATAAAGATGAAGGTGGATATAGATTCAAAGGAGGTTTAAAAAAAGGTTCCTGAACATTTTTGCAGTCCACATTTGACCCATTTTAGAAGTGATTAAAAAGTTAACTATAAAATACAGATATTTTTATCAATGAGGCGTAAGAAGACAGAAAAACATAGAAGTGAGATATGAATAAAAGAAAGGAAGATGGGGAGACAGGAAGTGAAAAAAGAAATGCAGGAAGCAGAATAAAGAAGGAATATTGAGCTGATATAGAAGGAAGCATTAACTATTAAAACATTAAAACTGTGCTAGGCTCTGCAAATATAAATCTCTTCTAACTTCATCCCTCTCCTATCTCTTAGTATTTCTGTGGTGGTTCCTATTTTTAGCTGATTGTGTTGGAAGGATGAGCGAGACGGTTCTCCATTTACCTCTTAAGCTTGGCTCCTCTCTCCCGGCTACAGGCAGAGGCTGCCCACGGAGGGGGAGCTGAAAGAGGGGTGTTGGGGGGTTTAGGGGAGCCCAGCAGCAGATCGTGACGGGTAAGAACGAGCGGGGGTTTAATGTAAAGGGTGGAACCGTTGGTTTCGGATGGGGTAGCATGCATAGTGTCGGGCAGGGAGGCCCGTTTGGGGAGGTGAAGGGAGTTAGGTTTGGGGTTGGAGTTGACATCAAGCTGCTGGGGCGACGGGCATGGGGAAAAGGGAACTGGGGGCGGGCTGCATCCGGTTAGGCGAGGTGGAGGGGACGGGCCAGGGATGACTACCGACTCAGGAGTGGGAGCTGTGGGGCGAACACTCTGAAGGGGTCTAGTGTAGATATAGTGAGGGAGCGAGTTGGAGGAGCAAGAGGAAGAGGAGGAAGAAGAGAAAGAAGGATAAGGGGGAGGTGGCCTCTCCTCCTCGGGAGAGGGATAGACGTAACAGGAGTCAGACCAGTTGGAAGAAGCATCCTCTGAGCTGTAATGATAAGAATACCAGGGTTTCATGGGACACTGATCCTTTAATGTGACTCGTCTTATTAGAACTTCAGGAGAGAAGGGGTTGAAGCCAAGGTTTTCTTCCATTAACAGGGAGGAAATCAGGAGGAATTTATTAATATTTGAAGGGGGAGGTAGGAAACAAATAGATGAAATGGGAGATAAAAAAAACAGAAATGAAATAAAAACTGGAAAAAAAAAATTAATCTATGCATAGCGTCCTTCCTAGTAAGTATTCACACTTATAACTTTTCAAATTTTTTCATGTTGGGGCAAAAACTTCAGTATATTTTATTAGGATTATGTTTGACAGAGAATTACAAAACTGTGCATTATTGTGAAGTAGATAGAAAACTGAGTGGAGTTTAAAATAAAAACAAAACAAACACTGTGTATTTACTGTCCCCTCTCCCATACTTCAAAGAATAGCTCAAGCACAGTCATAAAACATTAAAAGATCAAGTGTGTCTACATTTTACAGATTTGACACTGGTTCTCAAATCTGTTTAGCCCTTTAAAGTGTGGACCATGAAATAATTGACAGATATTTTTAATTACATTTTGTCATAGTTAAATTAGATCATTTATTTGCATCAGTTTTGATGCATGAGGCATTTCTGTATAACCTTTTATACGCGTTCTGTTCCCTTCATATGACAGATTGGGTAAGACAGAGTTTTCAGTAATAAAAATATCACACTGATGATGCAGAGGTCTCAAAAACTCATGTATCAACCATGATACACTTGGCTTTAAAGGGTTGGGTCTGGACTTTGACTAGGCCGTTATAAAATTTGAGGCAGTTTTGACCTGAGAAACAGGGCAGCTCTGGCTGAATGTTTACGGTTGTTCCTTCCTGGAACCTCTGACACAGTCTCTAACTAGTTCCCCACAAAAAATTGAAAAGTAATTTGAGATGAGATATTAGATTGTGCCTTTCCTCAGCCAAAAACAAGTTACCTTGAACCAGTCTATGCTGGAAGCTATGTGGGGAGTTAGGAGTGAGATGACGGAGAGCGGTTGCCTCCTAACTCTAGACTCCCTAAAGCCATCAATGGCAGAGACAGCTCTTTTGAAATGTTTTTTTCTGACTAGTGAAAAATGTATGTCTTTAATAAACTCAAAGTTGTTTCTCTTGTGAAGACCCCTCCGCCATAGCCTTACTAACAGTTCGACTGTGAGCGTTGCTCTCCTCTGCAAAGTAAAATAAAACTATTTCTTCCTTGCATATCAACTCTCAGCGCTCATTTCACTTCACGGTAAGTATTTATTTTCTTAAAATAAGTGCTTTTTTTTATTGAGCAGGTGAGTGAGACACTTTGCCAATAGAATGAGACAATTTATCTTTTAAAAAAAGAAAAACTGCAGTCTCTTATTTCAAGTGCAAAATATCTAATTATCTTATTTTAAGGTTAAAACCACTAATTCCACTGGCAGATAATCTTATTTACCTACTCAAATTGAGGGTAAGTTCACTTATTTTAAGAAAACTTTACTACCGGTAATTTTTAGATTTTAGGTTTTTGCAGTGTTGTCCTCAGTGATTGCCTTGTCTTTCACTTTATGCATCTTCCTATTGTCAGGTTTTTAGGGAACCCAAATGCAGAGGCGGAGGTGGTTTCTTGCAGGTTTTATAACCAATGGTGGCAACTGAAGCATAAATCCAAAAATAACTGAACAAGGAACACATGGGTTAAGGAGAGAATGAAGAAATGAAGAGAAGGCAGATAACAGTAGGAGGATTATATGTGACAGGTGTGGACAGAAGGGTCTAGAAGGGAGCTAGGGGAAGGAGACTGACAGCAAGGTGGTAACAGAGAGAAAAAAAATACATAAGAACTCATATACAACCAGAAAACAACTAGAATAACACACAATGGAAATGAAACCAATGAAAACTCAAAAATAAAACTTAAAAAGAACCAAAAAGTGCAGAACCATGACACCAATAAACTCTGAAAAGCTTCACTTTCCCTGCTGCAAAAAGCTTCCCCACTGTAAAATGTTCAGCCTCAGATCCATGAGAGCAGAGCACCTTCTACCACATGCATGCTGCCTGTGCTGCAGTATATGGCTCATGGCAAACGGTAAACATGACTCCTTATAAACTACCTTCAACAATGACGCCTTCTTGCTCGTTTTCCATAAAGGCCAATTTTTGTTGAATAGGAAACCTGTTGCCATTTTTTTTTTTTATTGTTTAGTTTTTAACCCTTTAACACCAAGTTTTCAATATCTGACTTTTTGTGACCTCTACATCATAAGAGGGATTTTTTAAATTGTTATATTCTTAAAAAGGAAGCAGTATTTTCTTTTACATGTTATAGAAAAAATAAACTTACAGATCCCCAGCTAATGAGAAATATAGATCTAAAAACACATTTCTGCTTCTTAAAAGCCATTTTTTTGAGTGCACTCAATTTAATAGTGTTCTTAAAAAAAAAACTTGTAAATCTTTTAAAAATGGTATTTATATTCAAAACCATTAGCTGGTTCTTTTATCATATTCAGCCAACATTAAGAGCGATTGGGTCCAAAAAGGCACTTGCAGCTCTGGAGCCTCATGTTGCAGACCACTGTGCTAGATAATTCCTGATTGTGATTTATTCTATTGGATTTAATTTAGGGGTAACATGAGTGGAGGGGTTTGATAACAAATGCACTTTTCTGATTTTAATTTTTTAAGATTAGAGACAATGATTTTATCTTTCTGCATACACATCCTGCACATCTTGTTTTGACTGTTGCTTGTAGCTACATGACAATAATAAAAGTTAACAAGGTGTGAATACTTTTACATGGCACTGTACATGCAGCACTGTGTTCTTAACCAAGAGTGAGCTTTAACCTCTTTTAGTCTAAAAAATAATGCAAAATAAAATCTGCAAAAGATAGAAACTACCCAATACTTTATTAGAATTAAGGACAAAAACGTTCATTGAGTACTGAAAGGACGAAGGGAAGGGCAGAAAAAGGAAGGCTTTATTTGGTGTAGCTACGCTCGGCGAGTGTCGTTTGGTTGCAGGGGAGGGTGGCACCAGCAGGTGGGAGGCCAGAGGGCGACACAAGAGGGCGGGGGCACAGCAGCCTTACCTGGCTCGGTCGCTGTTAGTGGGAGGAGGGGTGGGGGACGGGGATGCAAAGAAATCCCCAGGCTGCTCTGGGATGGGAGCGTCAGCGGGTGGGGTGGAGGGGTGCACGTTTGGCGGCGTTGAGGATGTTTTACGCGTCGCCGACGGGCCCCTGCGTGACACCCAAGAAGTGTCCATCACCCTGACACCCATGCTGCAGTAGGACAGAGACAGCCAATCATATCATAGGAGGGAAGGTGTCATTTAATTGGAGGAGGGAGGGAGTTTAAGATTGCCAGAAGGTAAATTCAGCTTTGCCCTAAAACATTACAACACAACAGCTGCTTCCAACATCAACTTAACTTAAATAAAATTGTGACTTTAAGCAATGCTACCTGTTCTGCTGCATACTGATAAAGGATTGAGATGAAATGGTGTAAAATGGTATAGCAGTAGAAGAAGAGCAACTCAGCTGAAAAAGGTTGCATTAGCAGGAGATTTGATTCAGTCATATTAGAATGAGAAGCATTCAGGATCCTAAAGTCATTAATCAAATTGTGGTTAAAGTAAAGAATCAATTTCTAATGGGTTCACCAGGTTTTTTGTAACCAGCAGCATTACAATTTGTTACGTTTCTTTAGGTAAAACTCGATAAATAGCCAAATATTACAGTTTCACAGACAGGACATTATTTGAGCACCAAGGTGATTCCTAAAGAGCTTTTAGTTATTAAAATCTTGCATATAGTAGATGATAAACTAAAGGATGATCCACCTCTGAGCTCCTGAGTTTGATATTTGCTGAATTATTTTCTCCTTTTAGGACAGTGAAAAGAAAAACTATGTTTGACCTTCAATGTTTTATACTTGTGACCATTAATCTTTCTGTTGAACAATGTTCTTTTTTTTTTTTTGAAATTACCCAATATTCTCTAGATTGATAGGCAACAATAGCTGCATCTTTAAAGCAAATTCTGCTTTGTTTCCATATAGTTGTAGTCCTGTGTTCTTTGACAACAAACAACAAAAAGCAACTCAAATGAATGCAGTTGAAGAACAAAAAAAGATAACTATGAAAAATGATGACACAAAGGCAAAAAGTAAAGATGGAAATTGAATTATGAGTAGAAATTGAATTCTTATTACGAAGACTTTATCCGTATTCATGTAATTTAGAGTCAAATGTAACAGTTCAATTTTCTATTTTAATAAATTAAAACTGTTTAATGGTTTGAAAGATAATTTATTTGCTTTTAAATTAAAAAAAATGCAAAACTTTCAACATTTTTGTTTTAATTTCTGTTAAGATGTGCTTGTGCAGATGTATTTTTTAAACGTATGGTATGTAAATTTTGAAGCACAACTGTTTCCTTCCTTTTTTGTCCTATATTATATTAGAGAAGGCTTGATCAATTGTTAGAACTTAAACACAGAACAAGAGTAAAAAAATAGGCATGAAAATAACTAACCCTTTTATTATCAACCAATCAGTTACTTTATGGCATTTTACCTGATTTATTCTAATTTGTCTAAGAAAAATTATTTTTATATGGCACTTTGTGTGGCAGAAGAGGTCATTTTATTAAAATAAATCACTATTGGTTGTTCTAATGCAGGGGTTCAAACATTTTTAGTATTGGCTTCCAACTTTAAAGTGACACTTTTTTCTGCCAATGGGGTTTATTCTGCAGAGCTTCAAATTTCCAATCAGAATGTTGTCTCAAAGTGCGTGCACAGCACACCTAGTAAAAAGAGAAGTATGGCAGCCAACAAAGAGAAAGTCACTGAATTTGGACTCAAAACTATCTGTACTGCTCCTAGACCTGTATCTTTTCCTCACTTTTATTACCAGTTGTACACGTTACCCCCTGCGGAGTGGGAGGGAGTTTCTTAATGGTTCAAAACTGTGTAGAATCAGGTATAGCACCTTTAAGAGAGAATTCAGATGCAGGCAGACGTTCGATATGCATGTTTGGCTGGCATCAGACCGATTTTCCATATCAATATTTGATTTGGACATCCCTAGTATTTATCACTTTGAATTAAACTGTTGTACAGAAACAACATGTCATCAGAATTAGTGTTTAAATAAGTAAATGTCGGATGTCCCATTGCGAATGAATGAAGCACATAATGACCTGAAAGCTACAAAGAAATCCCTCTGCAAGCTATGAGCAAAAACGAAAGACTACTGCCAGCTCCTTTTAATGTGCAGCTTAAACGACCACGATGGGTAAAGGGACTCGGAGAGACATAAAATAAGTCATACTTTACCTTTGAATCTTCCTTATGCTGCAGTGTTAAAACAGAAACAAGCACAGTGAGGACAGAAATAAAAAGTTTGCCTGTGGCTCACATGTTTTGTATTTTTCAACGCAAAGAATCTTTTAGGAGGAAAACAAAGCATTGCTTGGATTAATGGGACAAGCCTAATAAAAGAAGGGTTTAAGAAAGAACAACAGTCACTCTGCATATAAAATATGAGCTACTTTAAGTGTTTCAGTGACATCAAATCCATGGAGAAAATCCCCATTTTATTCTAATTAGGTCAGTTTTTCCCAGATGGATACAAGATAATTTTGCTTTCTGCAGCTACAGTTATTTTTCTTTGGACTTTTGGTGCTTTATTAACCAATCTATGCTATTAAAATATACAATTTGTGGGGAAAGCAGGTGAACAGCACTTGAAAGATGTGTTTTCAGGATAAATATCCAATACAGGACCTGAGAAAAGCAGGGTATTATATACTGTGTACTAGGTTTTATTCTAAAATGTATTTTAAAATCATCCTGTTGGAGCTGATTCTATATTCATAGCCCCATTAAACTTTTTTTTTTTTTTAAGCAGTTTCATGCCTCTTCGGTTTGTGGTTTAGCACAATTACTCTGAAGGAAAACCCACAAAAGTCACTCATAATGGACTGAAACTATGTTCAGAAGCAGACCAAGCATATAGAGTTATTTTAGATAGACTGGGGAACCTCTTCTGATGCCCACTTAATGGTTAAAATAAAGTGATCACAAAACAAGCTTAAATCATCCACCTTTTCCAATCATGTTTCGTCACCTTCTCAGAAGTCGTTTGTTCTGTCAGCTCACACTAAGGCTAAAATTACAAAAATATTTTTCTCCTCTTTACATCAATGCACTACTTTATGTTGGTCTCTCACATTAAAATCCTAATAAGGAAGTCTGAGGTTGTGGTTTGACAAAATCCAAAACTATCTAAGGAGGGTGAACACTTTTGTATCTATGGAGCTTTTGTAATTAAAACCTTTTTTGAAGATTAAACCCAGACTCCTTTCTGTTGGGCTGACACTGACTGAATGTGTCTGCTGCATATCATGTCTCTTTAGAAGCTTCAGTCTGGTTCTAAATGAATGGGCTTTTTTTTCACAGAAAGCAGAGCTCCATTGATCAGTCCAGGTTTAATTAGCTCAGCTGCTTGCGGTCCCTGGGCTGCAGAGCTCAGGCTCCTCGCTGGTCCTGATAAGACGGTGGGTGTAAGGAGAGAATAAGACGAAAAGAAAGCAACTGGCTGGTCTAATCCTCCTCCACAGCTCAAGGATTGTGGGATTGCTTATTTCACAGGCTAAACTTCAGCCCTCTGAACTGTCGTTCTTCTTCTTTTCACTTTTAGACGTCATAATGGGATGGAGGCTTGAGGGCAGGTAATACAAGGTGAGCCATGTCTGTCCACCTCAGACTAAGGCAGCTTATTTCTGAGGTCAAAAGTCTTATCTGATAGGAAATGTGAGATCGCCAAGAAAATTTTATAATTGAAGACAGCCATAAGTAAAAACTACACTTTTTCTCCTTTTTGACCATATAGGTGAGTACAAATGTAAACCTTTGGATAACTCAGACTTAGATAGCCTACTACTTACATTATCTACAAGTTTTTGTGAGTATATCGTTAATTTAACTAGAAATCTAAGCTTAGTTACTTCAAATGAATGTTTCCCTTCATCTCATCTGTTTTATAGCTTCCTTCTCTGTGATTAAAAGCTGTCTGGGATCTGGAGGCTTTAAAATGACAACTGTAAGCTTGGTTAAAACTTTGAGATCCATTATTAATCCAGGCTTGTCTAATTCTTCTGTACAATTATAATGCAGACCTGAACTCTTCTTTTCCTTTTCGCTTGTCTCAACAACAAACTAATGATTGTGCTTACTGAATTTACTATACTTAACAGATGAGACAACTCCCCACATTGTGAAACCAGGAGGTGGCATCATCATGCTGTGGAAACCATTAACCTCAGTAAGAAACTAAAGGTGGTTAGAGTTGATGGGAAGCTGAATTAAACTATTAGAGGCTTCAAAAGACCTGAGAATTGAGTTGGGGTGTAGCTTGCAACAGTGTAAAAACCCTAAACATGTGCCCAAAGGTTCAGTGGTGTCATTTAGACCAGACTTATTCATGTGTTAGAATGGCCATTAGTCCAGGAGGCTGCATGCACATGCATGAAACACTTTTCTCTCTTTTAGTTCCAGAAATCATGAAATTTCAGAAATTTTGACAACTCCAATATAAAATTACATAAAAGCATTGGTATTTGCGGTATGAGATAACTCTTATAAAGTACATAAATCGGTCAGAGCAATGCCCTAGTTCTTCATAAATAACCAAACCCAGAGATCATGAGTTACTATGATCCTATTTTGCTTTTCCAGCTTCAGTCTTATAGAAGATTTTGAGAAAAATCTAGATACTCAAAGTATAACTAAACCACATGTAAAAGCATAACGCTGCCCGCAGACCAACAGGAAAATTCTAATGCAGTAGCCACCCGTCAACCCATAGAGGGCAGCACTAGCGTTGTCATGCGTCAAATTTTGGAGAATAAACAAGTTTATTCTGAAATGAAAAAATTTGCACAGCAACCATTTATACAAACCGTCTGTAAAACAAAAAGTTATTTTTAAAGACTTATTAATAAATTAGATTTGACTCGAGAGGACATAATCGTACCCGTCTTTCTTGTAGAACTCGAGCATCATGTTGTCAGTGGCCACGCTCAGCGGCCGCCGGCTCTGGTCGTTCTGTCTGCGATCCATCTGATCCATATCCGGCGACGGCATCAAGCTATAGTTTGCGTTGTGGTTGGTGTGGACTGGACTGCCATAGTTTCCTGTGACGTTGAACTCAATTTCTTTTAGAAAACAAACAAAACAATATACAAATAAGAATCAGAGACGAGACTCAAAACTTGAGATTTAGTAAGATCTAACAATTCGGATGATTTAAAAGACAATTTTTTTTGTCCTTTTAGCCATTTATCCTAATTCATTGTGTCCATGTATTCAGCAGAATCGGATTACTTTTTTTTAATCTGAACATATTTCAGTCTAAATGTGAACCTGCTGAATCTGATCAGAATATTCTGAATGACACACTTTTAGCCTTTTTGGCGGTTTATTCCAATTACTGATGTCCATGGCAATCGTAGCCCGTATTTCATTCTGTTCATTTTCCCCTCACCTCCGGGGAAGAACCAGTCGGCGTGCTGGATGATGGGCTCAATGATACCAACGATCTGAAGGGAAACTGTCGTCATCATCTCTGTGATGTTCCTAAAGTAAACAGACAGGAAACACTTATATTCATGTGCAATCAAGGTCACTCACATTATAATAAACACATTTCTACATCACATAAGTACTGAAATCCATGGGTTGATTAAAGTAAAGTTAACACTGGTAGTTTTTCCCCGGTGTGTAAATACGATGCAGCACTACAGCGCTTCTTTTTCTCTTCAAAATGTCAAAAGGAAGACAGAATCCTCAATATAATGATTAAGTTGATCTGTAAGGTGTTAAATGTGGGCATTTATTTAACCCTCGTTTTCTTAACTGAAAAGAAATGAAAAAAAAAACTGCATGAGAAAAAAGGATCTGAAGCTACAAATATTTGCAAAACTGAAATAAAAGCTGTTAGTCATCATTCCATACCCATGTTATCTAGGACCCTAAGTAAGTGAAAGGAAACAACTTGAATTTAAAACATAGATTTAAACATTCTTTTCCATTTCTAATTATTTTTTGTGAACTTTTGAGATAGTTATCACATTTCCAAGCATCAGACTTTCACACCTGAACTGTCTCCTCAGGATAATATGATATCAAATATTGTTTTGGCTGTAATCAATCATTTATTTAACATACCATATTATCAGACAATATGCATGATCTTTTAAAACTTAAATTACGCTAACAGACCAACAGTAAATAGAAAAATATTAAATAAATAATTGTCAATCATTCTGGTGATATGTTTACGTAAGGATGACCTATGTGCTTGCAAATCTTCTTCTGGAAAGTAAGCTTGTAGGATCGATGCAAACAGCAGCTTTTAAACAGAGCGTGCACGAGGAGAAATGGGCTTGTGCACGCTCTCACGCGCGTTTAATAGGCGTTCCCTCTCGGGAGCGGGTACAGGGTTGTGCATGTGCATTTATTTTAAAGTGGAGGGCAGATCTTTTTAAACCTATACATTTAATTAGACATCAAATACTGATATGTTTGAGGAATTGTGGTTAGGGGATCATTTCATCAAGAATAAGAAGTTACCAACACAATAATAAAGAATAAAGATTAGTTTGCATTTGTATTGTAGACTTTATTTAGTAGCTTAAAAGCAATATTTAGTATTTTGTAATATTTATGAAGTTTTGCTCACTTCACCCAAATAATTTACCCTTATGTGCTAGTGCTACTGTCATACAGTAGATCATATTGTAGGCCTCTTTCATTAACGGAGTTCATTTTGCTATAACTAATTGTGTGCATATAATTTTTTTCTCAATGTTTTGTAAGTACCTGTAGGGATCTGTGTAATCACTGTCTATGTATCCTAATTTAGCATACTTTATAAGCAGCACCTTTACATTGCATTGTGCTTTGCTAATGAGGAATTTTAAGCTTCTCATGTAACAATTTGCTTCCTTGATCACCCCTTTACTAGAAACCGCAGCATAAAATAAAACATATCACTGAAGTCTTGGTGACAAATCTAGTTGCAGGTTAAATCTCTACCAAAACCCAAGATCAAAGCAAAAAAAACTCTTCCTGTACATCAGGCCTGGTTTTCAGTAAGATTATCTCTGGTTTCTCACCCTTCATCATGGGTCCACAGCAGATTGGGGCCCAGGACGATGGCGATATTTCCAGGAGTCATCTTGTTCACATCCTGGTATTCAGTCAGCTTGGAGAGGAACTTGATCAAGTACCTGTCAGAGTAGAAAACGAAGCTATATCAGTTACTAAAGCAATTCCTAACTGTATAACTTTGCAGAATTTCTCCAGTTGTCAGCAAAATTCTATACAATGGTTTCAACCTATCATCTAAACACGGGTTCCCCTCAATGGACGATGAAGACAAACATTTAGTGGAGGAAAAAAACTTGTAAAAAGAAAACAAGCTAAATCCATCTATATCTCATTGTTCAATCCTGTTGCTTTGCTGATAGGCAGACTGATTAAATCTTCTGATGCTGGGAGAAATTAAAACCCATTAGCGTAGTTAAAGGATGGGAAGGAGGCAGTGAGTGCATTGTAAAGGGTTAAACTCCCAATGCTAATGGGATCTTTGCAGATGTTGTTTATAACATCTACTCTCTGTAATGATTTCTGCAAGGTCAGATAGAGGGGGGCAGTATCCCCCAAACAAATGCTTGCCCCCTAAAATCAACCCTGCCTAATTAAGTAACTAAACAGTACTAATGCTCTGCAGAGTATCGCGATGGACAGGCTGTGATCTTCTCCTGTCTGTCTGCAATCAGCAGAGAGCGGAAAGATAGTCAACAACCAATCAGGGATCAGGATGGAAATCAGTCACAAGTAGCTTGACTAACTAATAGCAGTGTCATATTTCTCTCTGAGAGGAAAAGCTGAATTTTTAAACCTTGAAGAAGCAGAAAAGCTCAATGAAATTCATGTGAGAGATGTCATAAATAGTTAACTATAAAACAAATGCAAATACAGCATCTATTTTGTGTGAGCCTGTCAGTGGAAGCATTTTTTAACCACATAAGCACAGAGATGTGATATCACTTTGTAGTTTCTAATGCTGTTTTAGGAATAATCATGGGAGTTTTTAAAGCTTATCTACATTTCTACTCCCAAGATTTAGTAGTTCTGTATTTTGCATCTATGGCTTTATTTTCTTCACATTAATATGAGCAATACCAATCCAATGACAGGAGTCAAATTTGAAACCTAAAAACCAAAACTCAGTTTATCTATACTGTTTGTGGATCCTGTTAGAGGACTATTATTAGGCTCCAATTAGTTTAACATGCCTATTGGCCATCCAATAAGATAAATACTGTATTTTGTTGTTTGTTCTGAACATCTTAATTTTCCTTCTCATTAATAATATTTCTGTTTACCCCCCGAGGACTAGCCATAGCTTACTTTGATCAGGGGGTTTGCCTACCTCAATGACTTTAAGAACTGCCCCAAAAGAAGCTTTACTTGTAGAGGCCATCCAATTCTTTGAGTTGGACACAGTTTGTTTCATTTTTTTAATATCATAAACTAAATAATAAATATGAAGTTAATATAACAAATAGAAGAATTCATGACTAAAAAGGAGCATAAATAAATAGAAATATATATATGTGTGTCCTATTCACAAAAAAGAAAAAATAGTTATTCAGCTCAGAAGTCTACAACAGATACAATTAAAATACACAGAAATATCCAAAAAATAAACAAAATTATATATATTAAAAAAATAGCCCATCCAATGGCCAATATCCCCTTTTCATAATAATTTTAACAATGTAGAAACATTTTTACTTTTTTAATCTCATTGTCAGTCATGTCATAAACTGAAACCTTTAACTCAAATGAATCTTTCCCTTCTGCACCATGTTTCTTTGAAAATATCAGCTTTTAGTTCTTACCCCAAACCAATGAAGAAAACACAAGTTGACAATATCAATAAATATGGAGCATTTTTAAATATACAAACAAATTAAAAAATCTGGTTCACCCATTTAATGCAGGTCATTGTTGCACAAAATAGCTGTTATTCATACAAAAAAACCTACAGAATATGAAGCCCTCCCCCATTCCTGACATCATTACATTATTAAGCTCATCTAAAAAAATTTATAAATTACTGATTGTGAAGGAAAAAAACTCTTTGGATTACAATTGTCTTACAGAATCTAAAGCCTGTCTAATATTTGTATGAATGTGTGGTATAAGACTCCCTGTTTTATTGAGGCTGAGTGGTTGTTAAGATGTCATGTAATTATCCATTTGCACATCTTTGAATAAATCACCACAAGCTTTTAAGACTGATATGTTTGGTCCTCAGTTCTCTTTGGCTTAAATGGATTTATGTAATACGGTTGTAAAAAATGGTTTCCTGAACTTAATTAAAAACATAGCTCCTCCAGGGAGTTCTGGGTTTGGAGGCTCCTAAAAAAAATCTCTGAACAGAGGCGACCAGGAGGAACTCGGATGAGCCAGGTTCCACTACGCCTCTATGACTGAGCTTAGCTGTGCTGCAGAGGTGGTTCATTTCAGCCACAAGTATCCAGGATCTCACTTTTTAATGCCGCACCAAAAGGTAATAGTGGGACGTAGATGAAGCGATAAAACCAGACTTTTGCATTGTGCATCGGCTCCTTAATCACCACAATACACCAAAGCAACGTCACATTAAACATAGGTGGATATATGCTTATCAGTGGCAATTTCTCATCGAATACTAACGAGGATAAACCTCCCCTGTAGTTTTCTTAAACTTATTGGTAAAATATGCATTGTCAAACTTTACAAATTTTGTAATTGAACTACAATGAATATGCACTAAAATGCACCTGATTTCATGAGAACGTGTATGAGTATGTTGCCCATTAATCAGCGCTTGAACATGGCCTCCCCTCTGCTCTGAAGTGGCAGGATGCAGAAGATCAGCCTCTATGAGGAATCTCTGTGGAGGTTTGTGCCTCGGTCAGTGAGAAATCAAAGCCCTGATTGGATAGTAAGCCCAAAATACGTTACTTCCAGTGAGGCTCAGCCTTTTAGGGCTTATGGAGGAGGGGCGGGTCGTGAGGCTGGCTGCTCTATGCTGATTGGCAAATGCAACTCTGGATTTCTGGCTGACAGTGGCCAGAGACCATGGAGGTTTTCCTCATGAGAAAAGCGATAATTCAATCAGAACAACCATCTGGAGCTGAACTCTTGAGCTGAACTCTCATAGTACGGTAATGTGTTTTATGTGTTAATGCAATATGTGACGTTTGGATTTAATGAACTCCATAAAATAAATTAAACAAAGGATTACAAGACAAATTATCACGGGTATGATAATTAATCTATGGTCATTAGGATTACAGGAAGTATCTGATTTTAGTCAAATTAAAGATGTGAAATGCCTTTAAACATTTTTATATCTAAAAGGAAAATAAATGCATAACATTAAAATGCATGCTTTAATTCAAATTGAGTATTCCAAATTAAATGTAGTCATCTGATATATTTACATGCTGTTAAATACACAATAAGTGAGATTGTTTGTTTGGAAATGTGTAAATAAAATCAAGCACTTCTTTGGGTATTCTAATCTTATTTAGGGAGGATTTTTGTGAAGCATAAAGCCGCAGGTTGAGAGAACTATAGTCTAAGTAATTTCCAAATGAACATCCAGCAGCTCATCACTTTGAACAACAATCTTACGACAGATCTACTGTCAGGAATTCGTCCAATTTGTGAGATTCCACAGCAACCCTTTATTTTCATCCTCTCTCTCCTCTCTTCTTTCTTTTCCCGGTTTCCTTTTTTTCCTTTTTTGTTCCCAGGCCAACCCCGTTTTTTTCCCTTCGGTTTTAAAAAAACAACATTCGCCAATTAAATCGGACAGAAAATGACATAAATTACATTTTTTTAATTTATCATAAATCTAAAACCTGATGAAGAAGTTGTGATCAGATATATTTCTGCACGTTTTGATCTTTTCCTTATTCTTACTACCATAAAGGAATTAAAATATATTATGACTGCAGATTTATGCTTTTTCCAAAACATCTAAAGAGCAGAGATGTGCATTTTAAATCAGAACAAACAAAAATAAACAAAAAGAGATAGTATCTCGAGCTTACTGTTAGCTTGACACAATAATTTCTCATAGGTAAGCTGGGGTGAATTTCTTCACTTCACATACTGTGTCCAAAAGATTACCTATAACTGTGGATCTTATTCATTATAACATCTATGAAAGAGTTGGAGAGCCACAAACAGGTCACAGAAAACTCAGTTCATGGAATTAACATGCAGTGGGGTATATATCAGATTAATAAAAGGGATCTAAAATAAGGTTGGAGGTCAGTCTGGAGAGCGACTATTTATAGAACAGCTAGAAGGTCGAATCTCCACTTTGACTTTTTGTTGATTTTCACGTTAGGAAGCTTTTAAACTCTGATTCACCTCTAGGTGTGACTAGTGTGACCTGATCGTACGATTAGTGTGAGACAGTGCTGCAATTTTCACTTCTTCTCTGGTGTCCAACAAATTAAAACAATTTTTTATATTTGACTGTAATATTATTCAACAGTCATTTTTCCTTAATATAAAGAAAGCAGATCGCTGCAGTCAGTCACAGAGCCACACCAGCTGTCAATCACGATTTGTAATTTCTAGGGCGAAAACTAATTTTCTCAAATGCACATTTACTTACAGAGCAATGAAGGAATGGAACTCATTGCCATTAATTCTCATAAGCAATGTACATAAATCTGCCTTTAAAATGCAACTTAAGAAGTTTTTAGGAGCAACTTATCTATAAATGAAATAGTTTCATATTCTAATGTATTCTAACTTATTCATAAAATGTTAAAATTTTAAATTGCACCTTTCCCCATTTTGATGAATGTGCAGTCTTATTGATATGTATATAATATTTGTCATCTGTAAAACATGTTTATGACATTACATTGTATACTGTATTTTAATTATCTGGACCCCAGGAAGAGTAGCTGGGTGTAAAGCACAGCTAATGGGGATCCTAATAATAAATAAACAAATCAAAACACAAAGAAGCGCTTTCAAGTCATGAAAAACCTACATACGGTGCTCTAAAAATAAAACAGCACAGGTAAAGGATTTAAATAAATATTAATGATAAATAAAATATAAAAAACAGAGAATAAATTTCAGCCAAAGCAAAACTGTAATATATAATATCCAGTTAAAGTTTATGTTTTTAATGTAGGAAGCTCTAGTCCCTTATTCATAATCCTTCCTCTACTATTTTATTTTATTGCTGTTAATACACAGGTATAACCATGAGTTGAATAAGGAGAACCTAGTGAGCCTGAGGAGCCAAACATAAGAACTAAGACCAACTTGAAGTTGTTGTTGTTTGCAGACGGCAGCTTCTCACAGGCACCAAGCAGAGCCTGCAGTCTCTTTTCCTGGTCTTGGATGCTGCAAAAAAACAACAAAAGGCACACATTTGAACAGACATGTGAGTAAAGTGTTTTAAACTTTGGGATGATGATGCTATTTTGTGAAGATACAAACTTTGAGGCCTGGATCCAATCATTGTAGAGCTCAAAGGTCATTAAAGGTTCAGGGAGTTCACGCAGGTATGACTTTAGAGCACCTGAAGGGAAGAAAAAAATTCATTTTTTATTTTTTGAATGCATGCCAAAAAACAAAATACATGCCTTTATGTGTTTGTGGCACATTGTGGATAAAATACAGAAACAGTTTAAAGGGACCCTATGACCTAATGACTTTACAAGTTTCTACTGTACCTCCCCCTAGTTGCCTACAAAGGCTCTCTGATTAAATTCTGGTGCTTTGTTGCTTTAATATATATCATTCATGAGTTTTAAACTTTCTTTTTGGTCCATTTGTTTGTAAACTGAAGCATATTCAGTATTTACCATCAAATCAAGGTCTTTTAGGTAAAAAATGAACAATCATTATGAGGAGTAAATGCTTTCTGAAGACAACCTAAATGGCATCTCAACTTCAGGGTACTTTATTTATATTAAAACAACTCTGAAAACAGATTTTCTTTCTCATGTTAATCACGAACAAACAAAGGAGACTGGGAGAGAAAAAGCACTTTTCTATTTTATTAATCATGTGGCTTGTTGATATGCGATCTGCCGCCTCCGTGGCTTCTCACTTTAGGTCTCTTTTCATTTGTTGCTGTGCTCTTTTGTAAGTTTCCATTTTAATGCTTATCCAGAGAGAGAAAATGTGCTCAATTATCCCAATTTTGTAAAAGTTCTTTCATCCACATCATTTTCACCTCCAACACTATTATGCTGAAAAGAAAACAAGCCTTTTTGTCTCTTATGTATCAAGGACATTTTGCTGCAAATTTCAGACCACAGGGATCATAATTAGAAAAAGAGACAAAATGTTCTTATATATATATTTCAGTGTTGGTCAGAAGTTTCCATTCTATCAATGCTAGTCAGCCATTCTGTTTCTAAGGTATAAAAAAAGGGTTTTGTTACTAAATGTATTTAATGTTCTTTATGCTACAGGCATATGTAAAGGCAGAAAAATAGCATCAGCAGGGTCCTGGCATAACTTTGGCTGAATAGTTTATAACATTCTATTTAGCATTATAAGGTAGGTTTCATGCCACACAGACCCAGCTTTTAAGCATTTAGCATTTCTCTAGATGACTTTAACACATCAGACACATTACTGCATTAGAACAGAGGAGGTAGGATGTCATTAGGCCTCTACAACTATGTAGGTTTAACACAATCTGCCAGAGCTCTTGAAATTAAGAGAAATGTTGAAAAAACAATCAAATATCCTAGTTGAACAAACATAAACTCACCTAGAAACATCTTAAATCTGTATTTTGGGTCACAGAAAGTACAATTCATAAATTTAAATGGCATTTTTTAAACCTCTGATTGGTTAACCTACTTAATTTAAACCAATCACCAAGCATAACGAAGCCCCACCGACTGAAATGTATGGTTGAATTTTAATTTTGGATTTCTACAATTTTTAAGGATGTGTGATAAACTTTCAAAATAAAATAATCATGTAAAAATGACACATTGAAATATTCATAGTTTCCAATTTTGACCTTCGTGTTTCATGGCGGTTAGTTTAATCAAAAAAGTGTTTAATTTAATTTAAAAAGTGTCTAATTTATTTTCAGTTAAATTTTAATTAAACACTTTTTTTTATCAGTTCCTATTGTAATATAACGATCTCTGATAGAGTCGATATGTAATGATTATGAATAAATTTCTATGTAATCTTGATAGCTATACAAAAAAATCATATACGGATGAATAATATTAAAGTGTAGACTTTTTTATGTGTTTTGGTGGCCAGAAATAACACCTGAAAATGTAATTAAATTAAATGATTTTAGATCCTTTTACACGATTGTTGAAAATCTAATATTCATATGATATTTCTTTTACATAGTATAATTTTGAAATGATTAAATAACATGTCTGTGGATGTCTAAAAGGAAGCTTCATTAACAAGTTTTAACATGTTTCCCAGCTTGTCTTATTCTTGATAAGTGTTTTTTTTTCTTTGACAGCAGCGTTGTACAGCTGCAGCAAAAAGCATGGCTGTCATAAAAAAGATCAATAACAGCACCTTAAAAGCTTTTCTTTCTTTTGTAGTCCATCATGGCTCTGACTTAAAAGCAGTGAACTGAAAACAACACATAGAAAACAGATCCTCCCACTACAGACCCTCTAGAGAATGATACTCTGATATTTCTCTGTTATATTAGAATATAAAAGAGCAGAGTCTTGGAGAAAGTTGTGGTTAGATTTAAATTATTATGTTTGAATGTTAAGTTTAGATGAAAGTGTAAAGCAAACAAAGGAAAGTCCTTCCTTTCTGTGAATATAAAGGTGCCCAAACTGGAAGCCAACCCATCCTCCAGCCAAGGAAGAAGTTCTGGGGAACTGGTTCTTGCTTGATTTAGTATAACTACCCTGTTCAAAGACCCAATGATGACCCATTTTGTGAGTCTACCAAATTATTACTTAAAATGTCCTGTTAATCTGAAGACCTTTTTGTTTATGAAATGAAAGAGAAAGAGACCCAGAGCATCATCATCCTATACTAGATCAGATAAGATCAGATCTGACATACTTTAATAATCCCAGAGGATTATTACCACCGAGGATTGTCAATACTGAGGATGATCCAGGAAGTAGAGTAGCTAACTTTACACTTTCTTAATTTTTCAAAGTTGGTCGAGAGATAGCATCTAATGGAGACTTGGGGACCGCAGGATACCACCCTCTATTGTTATTTTGTAACAGTGAGCTTCATGGAGTCTGCATTTTACCTTTCCAATCCTTCTATTGACTGTATGCAGTGGAAAAACATGCAACAATAATTTATCTGACTCTCTATATGAGCAAATTTGGGCAAATAATTATTTTTTGTTGCTATTACTTTACTCATAAAGTGCAACACACATCTATTGTGTGTTAACTTCTGTGTCTTATTTCCCCCATGAAAAATGTGGGGCCTAAGAATCATTTGAGAATACCAGAAAATCTCACCAAAATAATGGATTTTTAGGGTGAGCTTGTACTACTGAGGAAAATTTTCAATATACGGTTATTTCTTCTGTTTACATATTAATATCAGCAAGTGTGGAAGGTTCTGTGTGTGAAAACCATGCTGATAACTGACCTGCGATGGCGTGTGGGTCTGTAGAGAACTCCTGAACGTCCAACACACCACAATCCAGAGACGCCTTCAGCTTCTTCAGTTTGGAGGCTGAAGGAGCGATTCTGAACAAACCCTGAAAACATCAAACATCAAGCTGTGATATTTGATTAACTAGCTGTGTATCACCCATTTATCTGTTTGTGTGTGTCTGTGGGGGGGTATCGTAACAGTTTGCCTCAGTAAAAAAATATATCTTGCATAAAAAAACTTTAAAGAAGCTGTGGAGGCGTAAAACTCTACACTCCTAGAAAGTAAAACCAGGATAATATCCTTGCTCTTTCATAATTGAACCTACAGGGATTCTTTTTTTCTTTCAGGTTGAGAAATGTTTAGGTGTGAACAGCATTTGCAGTTTCTTCAGTAATTAGGACTGACTCAACCTATAGTAATGCTTCCCTTTCTGTTGATGTGTTTTTAGATGCATGTGGCTTGTTTACCTCCTCCTGCATGCCACACTCCAGCAGCATAGTGACACAGGCTTCGATAGGGAAGGCAACATCTCTCCCACTGAGTGCTAAGTGCTCCTCTAAGGGTTTCCCGTAGCACGGCTTTTCCACCCAGGTCTCTGTCAGACACACACAACTTGGTTTCATTATCAGCACTTACTGCTGTAACGATCCTGGATGCTGTTGATAAGTGTTTAAAAAATGTACTGCATAAATTAATTAGTTGCCTTCAAAATGTTTCTTCATTTCCCCCAAATAGCGCTTTTGCATAACAATCTAGGTAAAGAAATGAACAAAATATGAAAATGACCAAGACTGGGCAGCAGAGCTTCCTGCCATTGAGGATTCAAAGATGTTTTCAATCAACCTGCTATAAAAAAAACAGCTTTAATTTGTTGTTAAAGGGGTTGGTTTAAAGTTTGGACTTTCAAAGTAAAGCTCGTGGATAGTCTTAAAAAATCAGTATTAGTCTTTAAGTTTAAAATGCAATAATTCTTCATGTTAATGATCCATTTAAAAACAAGTAAAAAAAATTATCCTATTTATAAAGTATTTATCCTTTAAACTAAAGTTTCCAGATGCTTAAAAATTATTGAACGCATTATATTAACTTTAAACTATGCAGTCAATCAAGGGAAGTGAAATAAAATGAGATAGAATTAGATTAGCCAGAAACCTCGACTATCAAATTCAATTTATAGATACTAGTCTTCAGAATAACTGTCTTTGTCTAATAAAGGAGGTAAAAAAACAAAACAATGCTTCAAAATTCCACTGTATTCTCAAAGGGTTTATTTATCGTCCACATAGGACACTGAAGGCTTGATCTTCAGAAGGTTTGGGTGTTTTAAAACCCATTCAGACAAGAAAGGTGTAAAAGGGATTTGTGTTTGAAATTCAGCTGACAGCGTGTGAAAACCTTTATTTTGTAAGTTTGCCTTCATCAATATGCAGATCATATTCTAATGATCAAACTGGGCAAATTCACGTGTGGATGATATGCAAATGTACACATTTGCAACAGAGAAAACTATTTTCTAAATCTGAAAGTGTGCATCTCTTTCTCATCACAACAATGATTTCTTTTCTCCCGCAATGTTGTTTAAAGGTCTCCACACAAAGCAAAGATATGTCATATTACATCTTTATGGGGTCAAGCAGCTGGTGCGAGGAGTTGGCGAAGATAAATCCAGATGGTTGGAGCCTAATCTGAGGCTAAATTAAGGGCTAAATTCAAATAGATTTTTTTAAACCCACCAACAATCTTCTG